GTACTGTTGGGGGGGAGAAGCGGTGGGGGGGAGATGTTCATGTTGCTGCGGTCTGCAGTCTGTACGTTAGATGTCGCTAAAAGTTACACACTGTAGCTTTAACAGATGACAAATAATGACATGACAATGACATATAAAAGGCATTATTATTAAAGAATATTTATAAATTAAAATATATAAAGGTCTCAGTTATGGATTCTGTTCTCATTCCTCCTCACATGTTCTTCTATAACATCCTGATCTATGCCAGGTCATTGATGCAAATGAACCTCATACCTGCACGCCATGCTGTTTTTATCCATGAATATTCAGATGCAGTTCCTGAAGCAGAAAAACTGATCTGTTTGAAACAGGAGTGAACATTTACTAAGAGCTGCCTTCAACAGAACATCAAGATAAAACACATTTGAAATCCCAGTGAACAGATCCAGATGTAAGTTTCTCATTTTTTTAATAGTTAGAGTTCAGTTATGTGGAGAAATGTTTGATTTAGAGCATTTACATATGATATAAACTGTTCCTGATTTTTTTTTTTCTTATTTACAGGTATTTGTTTAATGTTTCTTTAAAAATATAAAGAGATTTATCAGGCTATAAAAAATAAACTCTCTTTGTTTTAGAGTTCAGTTATGTGGAGGTATGTTTGATCTAGAGCATTTTAAAATTTATTTAAATTACACATGGTTTTTCTAATGCTTTTTTTAAATATAGAGATTTTCATCCATCTAAAGAAAAAATCCCTCGAAAAACTAAAATACTACTTTTAGTCCAACAGAAAATAACAAAATTCCAACCAGAAATACCAACAAAATAAATTCATGCATGAGAGGAAAAATGCAGTGGGATTTATTTCTGGTTATTTTGTTCGGTAAGAGACTTTAAATAAAACTGTAATGAAATTTTAAAAAAAGCTTTGTTCATCACAGACTGTTATAGTTGCTTATTAATCCTGTGGGTACTATTGTTTTCAGTTCAGCCCAATATGATGGTCTGTCAGCTTTATGAGTATCACTACATTAGAGAGCTAAAGACCTGGACTGAAGCTCAGCAGTACTGCAGAGAGAACCACACTGACCTGGCCACAGTGTCTAACATGGCAGACATGAAGAGACTCCTCAATAACTCAGCAGGAAACATGAATGAAGCTTGGATTGGTCTGTATGATCAGACATATGGTGACAGAACATGGTACTGGTCTCTGCCTGGAGTGGAGTTCAATGAGACAAACTGGAAACCAGGAGAACCAAATGATATAAGAACTGAAAACTGTGGGATTATAAGTAATCCTCTCAAATGGGGAGACGTATCTTGTAACACTAGACTTCATTTTATTTGCTATAATGGTGAGAATAGAAATATTTCTCTCTTATTTTCGAATACTTCTTTTATTAATCCATAAGAAACCATATAAAAATATGAATATGCTTTTATTATTATTTTACTATTTTTATATTTGGTTTCCATGTCGCTAGAGAGAGCATTGCTGACCTTTTTTATCCTGATCTATACAGTTTTTCACTACAGTAATTTTAACTCTTTGCAGAAAGTAAAACACCAGAGAAATTCTACTTGATTAAACAATCGAAGACCTGGCTGGAAGCTCAGAGTTACTGCAGAGAGAAACACACAGATTTGATCAGTGGAATAAAGGAGCTACAGGGAGAACAACTGAAGAATGTTCTATCTGTAGATATTTGGGTGTTTATTGGTCTGTTCAGAGACACCTGGAAGTGGTCAGATGGAAGCAGCTTTTCTTTCAGACACTGGAACCTTCAGTTTAATGATGAGAAATACAACAGTGGTCAATGTGCCATGACTGTGTTTGATGATGGAGGCAGATGGAAGAATGGGGACTGTAAAGAGAAAAAACCTTTTATCTGTTATGATGGTGAGTTGATTTATTTCATACTTAACACATAACATTTCTGTACTTACCATTAATATCTAAAATTTTATTTTAATTAAATTTTCAGTTTTATGTGCCTTCAAAGTCCTTTATCTTTTTAATTTCTTCTGATCACTTAACAGGTTTCTTTTCATCCGGTGCTCAAGTTATATTAGCATATAAACTCTGCCACTTTCTTAGGCACCAGCCTAAATGAATCTTCTGTTTCTCATCCCATTGGACCCATGGCTAAGCTCACTGTTCCTAACTAACAAATTTAACTAATGAAGACTAAAGTTAATCAGATAAATCTAGAAGGTCCAGCAGTTGATGCCCACCGATTCTCTTAAGATTCCACATAGGCTAGCTGGGAATAAATGTCCTAATTAATTTCCTACTGTAGGGATTAAAACAGTAACGATAATGAATGAATGAGATGGGGAAATCTAACAAGCAGAGCCTCTATATCTACTCCCAAAGCCTGCAAACTGTCTCCCATTTATTCTCAATTTCTTTACTCTAATGTCACCAACTTTTTCCAGGAGGGATTAAAAACGTTATTATTTTAAAGCCTCAGGATGAAACTTTTATCATGATAAACCTTCAGGAAAGAGAAATGTACGAAAGTATTTAAGGACACTTACAAAAAGAAAACTCCCAGAGATAAGGTTGAAAAATGTGCACAGAAAGGAAAGATTGATTTTGAAAAACAAGATTAATGACTAGGATTATAAAAGGATACAAAGCAGTTCAAACATGTTCTCTAAAATAAAAAGATTGTATAAAGAGAGACTGTATAATAATCCCTATCTAACCCCCAGAACTGAATAATAGAATCCAATAATGCAGAACACAATCCCACAAACACCTAAGAAAGTTAAACTAGGTGAACTCCTAGCCCAGTAATAAGAAAGTGAATAAGTGTGATTAGAAAATAAGGAAGGAGTTTATTAACAACAAACATTTTAAAGAAAAATAGAATATCTTTACTAAGGATAGGGCATTGGCTGGTCCTTTTTTACTTCACAGGCTATGTATGGATTTCCCTTCCTATTTTCCTGGCAGGGTGTTCCCCTACTTGGTCCTAATGTCTCATTAACTAAGAACTAAACCAGTTTAATATGACATGAGCCTTTAAACAGTAATCTATACTGTTGTGTGTATTAATCAGAAATTGTAACCACTGTTCAGTAAGGGGATGGGCACAGACAGCAACAATGGTCTTCCAGACCATTGTTGCTGTCTGTGACCATTTAAGCAATTTTACCCACACAGCTAAACGTTTGTTGAACAACTATCACTGCAACTTTAGGCCCTCACTAAGCCCATGAACCTTGGAAACATGTCAGAGTAAATAAACACTTCTATGTCTCTTAAACCAAAATTCTGACTTTTCCATCTGAATGCTACTGCTTGATACAGGTTTCACTGGAATAGATAACAGGTTACTTATTGGTTTGGATAGATGGTGCAAACATTATCTTTAGTTCCCTCTTTTGTCTCATGGCTCTTATTTCCCATTTCAAATCAAAACTCTTATCAATTGCATTGGTTTTGGATCATATCTTAAACAAACATTTATTTTTATTTTCACTGACAGATAATCTGGTCCTGGTCCAAGAAAAGATGAACTGGGCGAATGCCTTATCCTACTGCAGGGAACACTACCATGATCTGGTCACCATCAAAACCCTTGAAGAGCAGATATTGGTCCAAGAGAAAGCCAAGAAGGCATCGACTCCTTTTGTCTGGTTAGCACTGCGCTATAACTGCACTAAGAAGTTCTGGATCTGGGTTTGTCCTGAGGGGGTCACTGAGAGAACCATGAACTCAGATGGAGAGGTTGATGACTGTAACATTTCTGGAGCCATGGACACTGGAGGACAACATAAGTGGTTCCAAATAAATGGTGGAGAGGAGTTTAATTTTATTTGTTCTAAGATTTAAGGTTGCACATTTTTTATCTTTCACTTCATGTATCAGTAATGGGCTTTGTTACAGTTGTAACCATTAAAATGTCCCCTTTTTCTTCGATGGGCTTTTGGCGGATCCTTGGCTTTTACCCTACAATCCCTTTTTAAACATAAATCTTTGTACTAAAATATTCTTTCTGCCATGATTTGTGGAGATTAAGATTTAAAGAGAGGCGTTATCTGGGGAGTGGTGGCCTAGTGGTTAGGGCATAGGGCTTTGAATCCTGAGATCATCTAATCTACCCCACTCCCCCAGACTGCCACTCTGGGTCCCTGAGCAAGACCCTTAACCCCACACTGCTCCCTGGGTGCCGCACAATGGCAGCCCACTGCTCCCCAAGGGGATGGTTTAAATGCAGAGATAAATTTCTCCAATGTGAGATCAATAAAGTTCAATTATTATTATTATTATCTCCTGGTCAGACCCTGTAATTCACTGAAAGGATGGAGTCAGAGAAAAAAAAATATGCATGCCCAGGAGGGGATTTTGTTGGGGGCTGCAGGGAAATGGGCTGCCATTCGGATGGCATTTGATGTTTGAATGACTGCTGCTGTATATCATTCCTTATCTGTTTAACTTTAGGACAGTCAATAGTCAAACTTTAAATGGACATAAAGAACAGTCTTTAATTTTAAAAGTTAGTTTACATATTTATCTAGAGTTTAACAGACATTCATTGACCTGAACTTTTCCAGATAAGCTTCCCTCTTTTGTAAATAGGTGGAAATTATATAACATGGTTTAGATTACATGTCCTGTATAGTTTCTTTGAATGATCCTTATCATACTTCATACTTCTTCTGGTTAAACAGAAACGTTGTAGTTCTTCACTTTATCCGAATGCTGCATTAATGAAATGACTTAATCTTTCTTGGTGTTTTTCTTTCCAAAAGTTAACAAGCCACATGTGGTTATCACTAATAATGCATTGCACTACTGAATAAAAACATTTTATATATATATATATATATATATATATATAAAAAAAATCTGAGTAAATCATTTATGAGTATTGAAAATTGAAAATATGTTGTATTCTTAGCACATTTAATCAAATTAACTAATTGCTGTTCTAACAACCATTTGATTAATTACTAGATTTATCTGAAAGTGGAGATTTAATCTGAATCTATTGATGCAGTTTATGTGTGTTTTTATTAAACTCCAACAATCTTTAAATGTACCTTGTTTTTATTCATAACATGCCCTAGATGAACTCTACAAGACTGTTTTTTCTATACTTCAGCTCACACCCTAGTTTCCATTGAGGGTAGATCAACTGTACTAGTTCCCTTATTCCAATTTTCATTTGTGCCCATGATCTATGCATTAATGTACTGTTTAGCAGGTCCACCTGGTTAGTGACTCACACCTTCATTATCATCCTCAGCCAGATAGATGTGGTCACTAACCTGTGTTCTTGCCCTGCAGAGTTTCCTGCCTTAGACACCCTAGCACTAGATGTCCCGGAGAATTTCAGTTTTCCTGCAAGCCCCCCTCCCCTCTTCAAGTTTGTGTTTTCACTCTACCTTGCTAACTATCTTTGTTGTAATGCAAATAACCTGTGATATGACCAGCCCTTCTACATGAGACTGGATAAGGCTGAAACAAACTGGCATCAGAACAAGACCATGCCCCAAGCACTTTTCACTACCTTCCCCTAAAACATCAGACCTTTTGCAGGAATATCTTGACAAGTAATATCTAAATCTTTTATTTAGGCAAACCTATTGAACAACCAGATATCATACGGGTCCTAGTTCCTGAGCTGAGAACAGGTCATAGCCATGCTTTTCCAACACAGCAAGGCAGAGCCTATTTATATTATCCATTCACCAACAAACATATTTATATTGCAAAGCTCACTTACCCCATTTACACTACCCTTGAAAAACCGATCCATGCAGAGACCGGTCCTAGCTTGGATCAGTTAACCAGGCCGAGCTCGGTTATGACGACCGTTTACACATCACGCTAACTCGGTTCCTCGACTCCTCGCCTCCTAATGACGACATGCGGTATTACTGCCAGTATTGAAGGAGGAAATCAAGCAGTTGGTGGAAGTAATGCACCAAAAGTTGTTTGCCAACGGCCATAAAACACAAGAAGAAGACGAAGAAGGAGGGAATCAAGCAAATCAAAATGGCGGCGCCCTTCACATTCACAAAGTTATGCTTGATTATTATTGCTTTACTTCAGTGCGGAATGTCAGGCGAAGACGCAACCTTTCGTAGATGTTTTTAGTTGTTGTTCTTCTTCTGTTTTGTGTTGGCTGGCAAGCAACTTCCGGAGGGGTATTACCGCTAACTACTGGAATGGAGTATGAATAGCGATGTGCAGCCAGACGGAGATGACGCATTCTGCTCATGCGCTCTTGTAATCAGAGAACCGAGCCAGGGAAAAACCGAGCCGGGCCCACCTCTGGAACTGGTCGGCAGTTAACTCGATTCGGTTGTGTCTAGCTCATTTCAGTTCAGTTTGCTTTCCATTTACACACGATAAGTTATCTCAGTAACTGAGCTCGAACCGGTCTCGGCATGGTTTTTCAAGTGTAGTGTAAATGGGGTACAAGTGAAAGAAGGTACAACTTAGAGAATAATTGTATTTTGTCTGTTCTCGCCTTTTCATGTGATTCAACATTTCAGCTTAGAGAATGACAAACAGTATGATTTCAGTGCTGAAGTAACATTTATTTCACCCAAGGAAAAGCACAACATATGAAGCTACAATTTTCCCATTTAGCAGTTTTTACAAACCCAACATGAGTCCTTTCTGCATTTGTGAGAGGTATACTTTGTGCAGTGCACACATCGCTCAGTGCTGTGGTTCCTGTTGCAGAGATTGCACACCAGGCCTGCTTATAATAACAATGAAAAAAACCTAAAAAAAAATAGAGTTTAGCACATATTCCCAAAGTAAGAGTTATAGTATGAACTAGATGAGGTTATCTATGTGTAATACAAGTTTTGTGGCACTACAATTATCTATAGTTTAATTATTGGCTATTATAGGCTTAAAATAACAATGAATAAATCTCCAAAATACAGTTTGGCCTTTCTTCCCAAAGTAAGAAAAAAAAGAATGTTATAACTTTAAATATACAGTCACATGTTTATATAACTATTTTTCAAAAGTATTTATTACTGTTTTTAAGGCTTCACTTTAAAATATGAAATTTTCTAGAGCTGTTCTAAAAAATTCTTTTTTTTGTTTAGAACAGCTCTAGACAATTTGACAAAATAAATCTGTCTAAGTCATGAGTAATTATTGGCTTTTAGTTTTTTGGCTTTTGAGTTTAGCACATGTTCCCAAAGTAAGAGTTGTAGTCTGAACTAGATGAGATTACCTGGGTTTGGAGGCACCACAGTGATCTAAAGTATAATTATTGGCTATTATATGCTTATAATAACAAACAAAAAAATCTCCAAAAATTCAGTTTGGCCTATCTTCCCAAAGTAAGAGTTGTAGTATGATCCAGATGAGGTTATCTGTGTACCATACAAGTTTGGAGGCAGTACAGTGATCTATAGTGTAGTCATGGCTCATTTTATACTTATTCTAATAATAGAATAGAGGTGCCATTTGTCATTTAGGCTTTTGGAAATTCCTCAGAAAAGTATTATTTTTCGAATCCAATACATGTGATAATAATCCACCTCTACTTGGTGAGGCTTTTGAATATTTCTCTCTGGTTATTTTGCAACTTGCAGACGGAGCATTTGCGGAGCAGCGAGCTCTGCATAGGGTCCAATGTAATTCTCCCATCGCGATAGGAGACTCGCTTTTTGGAAACTACGGTTGTAGCTCACTGTCTGCCTTACTGTTGCTGCAGAGAGGTGTCTGTTTTGTAGAATAAATCATCTTCCGAGTTATTAATCCGGAAAAGCAGAATCTGAATATATTGCCAACTTTACTGCAATTTCACCATGCTGTCTGCATGTCTGCAGTGGAGGAGAAAGGAGAGAGAGAGAGGAGAGATCGCTTGAGTTATATCCCCCCCCAAATAAATAATGTTCATTATTGTATAAATATTGTTTGTTTCTACAGCGTTCCAGCTCAAGCAGCTATTTTCATTGTACAGATCAGTTATCGTCTGATTGCTGCGCTGGTGGCTGCGCTGAAATCATTGCGCTGTTGGCGACACTAATGAAGTAGACCTAGTTATATTAATTACAAATATGATTTCCCCCCCCCTGCTCTCAAGTAAAAGAGTCTCAAAGAGAGAGACTTTAGCTGAAACCGAAACTCAAGGGGGTGGAATAGTTCTCCAGCCACAGCACTAATGGGGCATTTACATCTGAAAAGGGATTCATGAGTTGATAAGTACTGTTGGGGGGGTTGGAAGCTGACGAAAATTCTCGTATCTGTGGGATTTCTAGTGCTAGCTATTCACCATAGATCCATTTTCCTAATAAAGTTTTATAAAAAATCTGTCTCCTTTGAAAACTGGGCCCCCTTGTTCTGACCCTTGACAATTAATGGCTTTATAGACAAACAGTAGTATTTTTAAATCTATTGTTTGAGATCTATGAAGCCAATGTTAGGACTTTAGAACTGAGGTGACATGATCCTCTTTCTTAGTTTTAGAGTGGACATGGGCAACAGCATTCTGGGTCAACTGCAAAAATAAGACAGCAGATTATATCTTACAGTAACAGAGTCCTGGAAAAGGGAAAAAATACGTTATTTACTGGTAAAATATAGGTCAAAACAAAATGTTAAAATAGGGTTCTCAAATCCCTGTGCTGTTGCTGGATCTGTAAAGCTACTACTAAATTGTTCCAAACTATTATACCCCGTCCACACAAAGTCAAAACGAACACGAAACGCTAATATTTTCCAGAACGTTTGTCGTAAAGACGGAGACGTAAAATAAATGTGATCGTCCACACGAATGCATGAAAACGCTGCAAAATGTATGCCGGGCCTGTAAGTGGCGCTGTCGTGCCAAAGCAAAAATAGGCGACGAAATGTTGGGCATGCTCCGTACCAGCTCCCATGTCAGAGGATGAAGAGAGCACATCCACCAAGTCACAGTCAGAGAAACAGGACTACACTGGAAAACAGGCCAATCTCCAATATATCTAGAAACAAAGGTGTTGATGGCAGCAGCATAGCTGATATTTCTCCCCAGGATGGTGTCACAG